TGCTGTTCCGGCGGTAGCACTTCCATGCTCGGCAGATGCGGCTCGTGATCTCCCGGTCGACCTTCCCATCCGCGCAGATGGTACGTCCGAGGTACACAAACCGATCTGTCTGCTTGTACGTCTGGCCAGCGGCGCTGACCGCGAACGGGCGTTCCCCCAGCCCTTTCGGTAGCATGCACATGATCTCCGTCTTTGGCTCCGATACCATCAGTCCGAACAGGCCGGCCACGCGCACGATGATGGACATCATCTTTTCGAGGCTCTCCGGCGTGAGCGAGACGATGGCCGCGTCGTCAGCGTAGAGCATGTCCCACAGGGCCTCTGCGACCGTCACCATCATCGCCTTCTTCCCCGCCGACCTTCCCCTCTTGCCCGTGCACTCCACTCGTGTTGCGATCTTGATCATATCCGCCGTCACCTTGGGGTCCTTGTCGAACTCGGTCACTGCGACCATGCGCATCGCGGCAGACTACAGGTGTGCATGTAAACGCGCATGAGGAACAATTTTCCACACTCACCAGAGCTCGTGTCGTCATCCTCGTACTCGTCGTCCTTCTCCTGATGCTGTTGCTCTCCCTCTTCCTCCTCCCCCCCTTCTTCCTCCTCCTCTCCCTCTTCCTCCTCCCCCCCCCTCTTCCTCCTCCTCCTCCTCTCCCGCCCCGCCCGTGGAATCTTCGTGTTGGCGGGCGCTGTCGTGGCCCACGCCACTCGCGTGTGGCGAATCCAGCGAGCTATCCAGATCCAGCGGATCTGCGGCAGTCCCTAAAAGCGACCTCGCCGCGCCACGGCCTCGCCTCCCGCTGCTGTAGTCGAACGCGTCGTCAAGCGGTTTGGGCCTCGGGGTACGAGGCGAGGTACGACTGCCGCCCAGAGAGCGCCGGTTTCAGATTCGCTTGATTCCCCTGTGGAGGCCATGTCGAATCAAAGCGACAGCAGCACCGCGAACGCGCCGGCCCCAGGATCCACGCCCCTCTTCGCGAGGTAACCCAGCCCCAAGCGCTTGTGTGTTCGACCAAAAGAGAAACGGCCCTTGTCAGGGAGGGCACCCCTGTTGTCGCCGCTCCTCTCACACCGCCGGCGACTCTCACACACGAAACCGCGGAACGCTCCTCTTACTACGCGGACCACACCTACCAAGGCGCGGNCCTCTTCGCGAGGTAACCCAGCCCCAAGCGCTTGTGTGTTCGACCAAAAGAGAAACGGCCCTTGTCAGGGAGGGCACCCCTGTTGTCGCCGCTCCTCTCACACCGCCGGCGACTCTCACACACGAAACCGCGGAACGCTCCTCTTACTACGCGGACCACACCTACCAAGGCGCGGACCAGGCGGTTCACACTTTCCCCGTTCGGCAGGAGGTAGACGCAGAGGTAGCCTTGCTGATGTGGTTAGATTGCGCGTTACCTCGTTGCTCAGCAGCCGTGTGAACGAAGTGCCCCTTGGCGGGTCGCTTCGCGAAAGCACAAGTTCGAGCGCCTCAATTGTCCTCTATTTTGAAAAGAAAGTGCTCTCCCAAAAAACTACCTCCGGGGAGGCGGGCCATTTCTCGGAAGCACCTTTTTCCCAGGAGAGCACTTTTTTGCCCTCGGAGGCACTTTTTTTAGTTCACGGGGAAACCCGCTATTATGTAATACCCTGGCACAACAGCAGTGGTGTAGAGGCTGTGTCGTCGACGTTAGTCGAGGTGATGACATGTGCGAGAGGGTAGCCTGGAAGGTGAGAGTCCTTCCACGGAGTGAAGAAGATGTTGAGATATTGGAACACTGGCGCTTAGGTGGCCAACACAATCCGGAAGGATCACACGAGAGAGTGAGCTACTCGGCTACCAAGCACCACGCAGAGAATCCTGCGAGAGTTATTCCTCCGCATACACATACGTATACGTTACATTCGAACCGACATTCGAACCGACACAAATGAGATCTACGATAGTCTATACAAGGGCAGTGCTATGTGCTAACATTTCCATAACACTCCCCTTCAATGAAAGTTGCTCTGAATTGTACCAAACTACAGCAGTGATGAAGATCAAATCAAGCAAGTACTCGTTTCCTGCGTAGCGTAACTCGTTCGTTTCATGCGTTTCAAAAACTCACGTCCCAAGTGACATTTCATGTTTTGCACGTGCTACAAACATATTCATGCGCTTGCAAAAAGTACCTACTATCTTTTCTTGCATAAACCAAAGCACCATAACTTTCAATCCTACATGGCTTGTTCAACCAGTGATGGTGCGAGGCCGAATGCTGACTACCGAACGAATACGCTGATTCACACAAACAGAACAGATGCAAAAAAACTTCGTATTAGTCTAAACACACAACAAAGACATGATTACTTGGACTTGTTACTGATGAGTAAAGTCTTTGACGTTGAAACTGCTAATGATGTCCAGCAGGTGTTTGAAGCGATGCGTGCTAAGATGCTTTGTCCCGATATCGGCAGGGTTGCTGTCCGTCGGGATGTGATGGATCGATATCCGTCCTTCCGATACTAGGTCTCGGATGTAAAAGAAGCGAAGTGCGATATGTTTTGTCCTCGAGCTGAAGGAGCGGTTTCCCAGCGTGTGAAGCGTCGCCGTGTTGTCGCAGTACAGCGGCANCGAAGTGCGATATGTTTTGTCCTCGAGCTGAAGGAGCGGTTTCCCAGCGTGTGAAGCGTCGCCGTGTTGTCGCAGTACAGCGGCACTTGCACATGTTTGCGGCCTACGCCACTTATTTATCGGGTGAGACTGTTTTGGTGATGT